AGAACTAGGAGAAAATACTGTACTGAGGAAACCCACCAATATTACCCACTTCTTGGCCAAGAGAATTATTTATATACATTGTCAGTATCTCTCTGAAGGGAAAGGTCAAACAGGAAGACTTAGAAATGGTGACTCCAACCCCAGATGGTCCTAAATCTCCAGTAAATGCTGTAGCTAAAGTCCTCTTTAGGTGACAGTCTCTGGCCACAGCAGAGAACAGTTTTTCTCCTCAGAGTTCTCCATGGCTACTTGGAAGAAGAGCCAAAATGTTAAGGACCCTTTCTTGTGTACCAGTCCTATACTGACTCTAATTTTCGATAGTCTTTGTTTAACCCAAGAACATAAAGTTGAATTTGAGAACAAAATTGTTTACCAAGTAGAATTCTGATGGCATTTGGCTTTAGTTGATCCCTTAAGAGCTCATTTAAATATTTCTTACTAAATTCAATTTTATCTTGTAATAAAATGTGCACAGTACAGAACAGTACATAACTGAAGCAAAGGCTAAGGATTATCTTAGTACTCAGACATGTGGCCCACCAGAACTAAGGACTAGAGGAAACCAGAAGTTTAAGGTAGAAATGTACAAGTAGGTATTTTTCTATACTTTCTTTAGTATGTTAAAGACGTGTGTGACTTAAACATTAACTCTGATAGCAGCCTGAATAAGAAATGATGCAAAGGTGGATTCATTAGAGAAATGTGTATCTTTCCAGAATAGGTAGGGAATGCAATGAAAGCTCTAAAGCAAAGTGTCTTTAGGTCACAGTTTTGTGATGTCTCTCTATAAGGAAACCCTGTTTTTCTTGATAAATTAAAACTCTTAATTTCCAGAGTTTGCACAAAGAAGAAACCCTCTGGTGCTTATGTCCCAGTGCACCTCATGGCCCTGACCAGTCTCTCTAGGTTTCACCTTCTCTGCTAAGGATGGAAGCTTAGGCAGGTGGGGAAGGACTTCAAATTGCAAGTTCAAATGTAGGCAAGAGATTCTGCCTTTCCTTCCTCATACATAGCTGAGACAGGTAAAGAACGCTTTTTTTTTTTTTGGTACCGGTGATCGAACTCGGGTCCTTGCGCTTGCAAGGCAGGCGGCGAAGACACTGAGCTAAATCCCGGGCCCTAAAGAACGCTTTTTAAAGCCTATAAGATCAAAGCAGGAAAACCATACAGCCAGGAAACCTACTTTCTGAGTGTATCTTGTACTCTGTGGCCTGCAGTGCCTACACTGGTGCCTTATGATGAAGGTTGAGACCTGCTGAAGTCGGCTTCTTGTCCTGCTTCCTAATGCATGCACCACCACATTAGCACCCACCCTCGGGAATGCACTCCTGGACAGCCAGTATGCTCAAAGTCCAATCCAAGAAATTTTGCATCCAGCAGTCTACTCTTTGAGTTCTTGTCCCTTAGGTATTTTTAAATACCTAACTCATTTAAATACCCTGTAAAGTTTATATTATTAACATCATTTTTATAGAAGAGGAAACTAAGATTCAAAAAGGTTTTAAAACATCCCCCCCCCACACACACTCCTAATTAAGTGGTGGAGTTGGGCCACAAGTCCGTTCGGTTGGATTCAAAACCCACACTGTTCCAAAACTCTGCAGTGCCTTTCAGCGTTAGCCTTGGAGGGTTCTGGCCCATCTTATTAAAGAAGACAGATTCTTTCACCCAGAGTCTCACGCTCCGACAGCCTTTGGAATTGAAACATCCTGTTCTGAACTGTGTTCAGGATCCAGACTCTGTCACCTACTTGAAGACAGCTAACATAGGGAAGGGAGGAGAGTGTTAGAAACAGACTGCTACACTGGGGCTCATGTGGACAGCATTCATCATCCTCAGAACTGGCCGATCTGTTGCCTATCTGCCTTCCCCAGCACCATTTAAGTTTTAATTATCTTCCAACTGACTGAGCTGCTGTTGAGGACCACAGCAGAACAAAGGGTACCTGTTAAGAGTTTCAGCAGTGTCCCGCTACACACTGGAGAAGTCACTAGCTGCCTCTGCCTTCATTACTAGGTTAAACCAGAGTCTGACTGTGCCCTGGAGAGACGGTGCTGAAAAGAAAAGAAGTAAATACTGTAAATCTTACACTTAACTTGTTTGTTATTCAGGATCTCTTGTGACAGGGAAAATGTGGTATCTGTTTCTCCCATTTAGGTGTTAGGACCAAGTCTTGGTTTGATTTTCTAAAAAGGTGAAAAGAGAGAGGAGACTCTCCTGTTCCTCAGATTTCCAGTAACTCGGGTAGCAATAACCCTCTACCTTTGGGATGCTCTGTCGTGAGTCCCACTCAGGAAATAAGCTCATAATCAGGGATGGTGTCTGTGCTGCCCACTGCACCCCAGCATTGCTCAGGGGTCAGGGCTCTGCTTCCCTGAGCTGGATGGCCCCTCAAAGTTCTTAATGTAGAGTTCTAGGCACAGCCACCAGTCATCACTGTTAGGCTATTAGGTGAAGCGATTTGCCATTTCAAGTCTAGATCTTTAGTAAAAAGCCCAGGATATTTACAACTTCTTATTTGAGCAAAAGGAGCATGGATTTTTTTATGACATTAACATATTTTAAAATGTATATTGGAGTAAGGACTTCATCCCCATTTTTGTGAATTATGCTATAATTTTATAGAAACTTAGAAAGTATTATAAAACTAGAATAATTAAACTTGTTATGAGCATTACAAATAGCAGGCTAATCAAGAAGTGTGATGTACAGTGGTGAATTGCCAATTTGACCTCAGGATTATGCAGCAGAGATAACGTTATCTTCATTTATAAGGAACTTTTTATCTGGAGGCATCTCTCAGTGCTTTTCTAGCCATATATTATTTTGTTTATTATCACAAACAGTATCGTTAAGACTGTAAAATGTGTGCCAGTACAACTTCTTATTTTCAATTGCTTATAAATGGAAATTGGGAGAATGCAAAGGGGAGGGCAGGTTGCATGTTTTCTCCCATTCCAGAGATTTGTACCATGGTGAAATTTGGGAAATGACTGTTATCTGACCTTGGAAATCCTGACTGTGTAGAATATTTTAAAAAGAAAGAAAGGGAAGTCACGAACTTTGCGGCATCCCCTTAAGTCAGCCAGGACTATATTTAAGCTTAAGAACCACCATGGAGAAAAAGCCCTTCAGTCACTTCCTGGCTTTTCTATACTGTGCACAGTAGGAGAGCTGTCCTTGCCTGGGTGGAGACTGGACCTAGGGACCAGGAAATCGATCTGATCAAATTCCACCAAACCACTTCCCTCCAAGGTTGCAGACGGCAGCACTCAGGCTGCCACGGCCATGTGTGGTTGAAAATGCTACGCTAGTTGAGTTCCTGTGGGTTTGAGGAAATGGACAAAATTACATTCAGGCCAAGGTGCCAGGTTTAACACACCCTTTCCTTTCCAGAAAGCACTAGGAAGATTGTCACTGCCAGCAATGAAAGACAACACACTCGATACTACTCAGACCATTCAGAACTTACTTTAAGTGAACCCACATAAAATCAGTACCTTCTGCTTGCCTTGAGGGCCAGAGAGATCAGGGCCCACCTCCTGCTTAACCAGGGGGCTTTGGTGTGAGTAACCATAGCCCTGATTCTTCACACAGGAAGAGTTGTCTTGCCGCAGTGAGTTTGAGCACACTGAGCAGCCAGTCCAGGAGACAGCATTAATATTGGTTCTGAAGATGAGTGATCAGCTCATGTCAGGGAGCAGATGGCTAAATGAGGTGCACAGGGAATGCTGTGAGACTCAGGCTTGAAGAAACAGGAGGGAAAATAGCCCATGGTACAGAAACCCTAAATATAGTCTCCTTAATGGGAATTTTAAAAATCGGCTTTTACATTATACAGTTAACTCAGAATGATGAGAAATATAAGAAAATTACTGAATTAGTGAATGGCGATTAACTCAGAAGTAAAATTATATCATGTCTAAATCAGAAGTTGTTTTACACAAGAAGGAGGATTTTACTAAGACATTGCCAGTCTGTCATGTCCTAATTGAAATCTGTTCATTTAATATGCCCCGTCCTTCAGAGTGCATAGTTCATAATTTGAAAGTGCATTATCAGTTAATCTAGTTATTTTTCTTGGTTCCTTCCTTTGCATTCCAGTAGACTCTGTGCGTGTGTGTGTGTGTGTGTGTGTGTGTGTGTGTAATATTCCCCATGGAATTATGTGGCACTCAGAAGAATAAGTTTGTTCATTAACCTGCGAACTGTCGGTCCCTTTGGAGAGCTAAGAGAGCAAGTTGCACTGAGGTTAACACTTGTTTGTCAGAGATGAAGCCTCCCGGGAGTTGGGGTGAACAGGCCAAGGTGCTCAAGACCTGCCTGGCGAAGCTGCACTGGGTGCAGATGCCAGGTCTGGGTAGCCAGGAGGGAGGTGCAGGGCAGGCTGGGCTGTCTGCAGATCATTTCCTCTGGCCAGGAGAGGACTTCCCAGCAGTCAGGGGCAGGGGCGGCATAAGTATGTAGGATTAACTTCCTAATAAGGATTTAGGGCAATACTGAAACAAAAGACACAGTGGGTGGTTTTCAGTAGTTTCTGTGGATTTTTCCTGTTAAAGAGGAAAGCAATATTGATTTCATGCACTTGTCTCCAATGGACAAGACCTTTCATTGAGTTGGAAAGCATTTGGTTTTGCCTGTTTGTGCACATGCGCACAGATACCATGAGGCAAGGGCAGAAGCTGTTTGTTATTCTCCAGTGTAAATGCCTCAAGGACGTGGACTTGTACTGACATTCAGAGGTTGAACCGAAAAGTACCTAGTATGATTTTCTAGGTGAATTTAAATCTAAGATTTACTGAATTCTCTGGGGAATGATATCTCCCTGATTTTGCTGTGATTCTTCGAGGCTCAATTGGAGCCAGCCTAAAATCAGATAACCTGGCCTGAAGTCAAACTTAAGGTCTCCATTAGTCCATGTTCTGGTGCTCTGTATGTTTAAATGGATTGGTTGTGGTGGAGTTCGTGTCCAATGGATTTCCTTTTCCTTTTACCCTCAGGTATATTCGAATAGTTGGGACTCACAACACAGTGAACAAGATTTTTCACATTGTGGCTTTTGAGTGCATGTTTACAAACAAAATCTTCACTTTGGAGAAGGGGCTGATAGGTGAGTATTACAATTACATTTTGGTATATATACCTACTTAGATGTTTTATCTTCAAATATTTTGTTATTCTATTAATTCATCTTAATCAGCTCCAAGGGTTATAGTTGATTTGAATGCCTTATGGATGAGTGACAGAGTGGATGGCTTACATTATTAGAAGCAGTCAAAATAATTCCAGTAAACTTAAAAGAATATAAATATTATACCAGTGGTTAAGAATTGAAACTATTTTTAGTGATCCATTCAGATTTACAAGGTAAGGAATGCTCTTGATAGCCAGGCGAAGCCTTTCATACCAAAGGCTTTTCTATATTTAATGGTAGGTGAGGTTGTGGAGGAAGTCAGATATTGATCGGATGCTCAGACTTTCCAAGGCTGTGAAGGAATGTTGGCTTTTGATTTCATATGAGTGGTATGCTGAGCTGTGGGATTCTTTTTTTTTTTCAGGACTATATCAGTCCATATTTGCCCTGCCTAGCCAAGTTTACCTTAAGAAAGCACCTGCCTATAATTTAAATAAGACCAGAGTGACTGAACTCTCACTGCAAAACTCAAGTTAGTTGGTGGGAAATGCTGTCTGGCTGATCTTTCCAAAGGGTATTTTAAATCTTGGATTAGGTCTTTGCTTGTTTTGTTTTCTGTTGTATTTGGTTTGGGTTTTGATTTGGTGATGCCTAGCTAGGCATTGGGTAAAATCCACCCCAGGTCTTAATGTTCAAGATAACATAAGAGGCTTTTCCCTCTAGACTACTAATTCCTTTTTTTTTTTTTGTCATGCACCTGACCTGCAAAGTTAAGCTGATGAGATCCTTGAATCTGTGTCTTTTCTGTTGCTTGCTTTGAAAAGTGCCTCCATATGTTCAAATGGGGGTGACAAGATGCCCCTGCCTTGCAGTATCTAAAATAAAATCCTGTGCCTTTACAAAACACAGTTCTCTCATCCATCTTAAGTCCTCTCCCTGTTAGCACAGGTGTCCTTATGTCCTAAAAACATGGTAGTGACTAGAATGGGAAAGATGAGTAATTCAAAAAGATTTACTAATTCTTTGAATAGTCATAGCCTAAATAGTCTTAATACCTGCTGTGTCCTAATCATAATCCTTTTCTTATGGATATTTGGGAGGGTAATGTCAGAAGTGTAAGTTTTTCCAATGTGTAGAGAGTTTTTAGAGGCCAACCTACATAATTGTTTTGGTTTTAACTTTGTTAGATCTAATTTTCATTATTAAATATAAATTTTAATTTTTATTTCTTTAAGTAATTTGAAAGTTAACAAGTTGAAGCGTTACATGGTATTACCATATCCTGGGTCTGTAAAGATTTGTGTCAACAGAGGGCAGTGGGGAGGGCCATTGTTTTTCTGCTACCCAGGTTCTTCTGCAGACCAGAGACTTCACTGTGTACGTGATTATGCAGTGAGGAGAAGTATCACTGACAAGGAGCTTAGAAGCCAAGATCCTTAGCTGGGCATGATGGTTCACGCCTGTAACCCCAGCACTCTGGGAAGCCAAGGCAGGAGAAACACAACTTTGAACCCAGCCTGGGCACCTTGGTGACATAGTGAGACCCTATCTCAAAAATTAAAAAGGGACTGGGGATGTTGCTCAGTGAGAAGGCCCTAGGTTCCATACCCCGTACTACAAACACACACACACACAGGGATCCTTCCTATTCATAAGATGTGTAGCAGTGAGGTACTTATTTCAGGCCCATGCGCTACAGTTTTGGAACATGGTGCATAGAAAATGGTCCTTTTTGTTGGAGGAAGAAAAGTGACTGCATGTTGTAATTATCAAAGAAACAGGCCAATCGAGTGTGAGAGGCCATCACAAGAATGAAACTCGGTAGGAGTTGCAGGGAGGGAGGCTGCTGCTGCTCTGTGTGCTTTGTGCAGTTGAAATAGTCAGCATCATTAACATTAGAAGCCATAGTAGTCTCATATATGTCGAGCAATGAAAGAAGATTGCACAGATGCAAGAAGTGTTTTTGTTTTTGGTGGTTTTGGTGATTGAGCGCTTTTCTTCAAGCCCTTTTCTGTGATGCTCACAAGTTTGACTGTAGCTCTGCAATCATCTGCCTGTCATCGTCCCTCACCCGGATGGGCACAGTGGTTCAGGGAGGCAGCTGTGTGTGCACTTGCCAGCAGATGGCCTGCAGTGGGACCCTCCAGCCCTCCTCAGGACCCTCTTCACAGTTTGGAGCTGCTCATGGCAGCAGCCCAGGAGGTGGTGTGAGCGCGTGGGAGGATGGGGCATCTCTTTATCCTGTCTGACATTGCTGCTTTGCTTTGCTTAGCTTACAGCAGAGTGTGAAATAATAATGGCCAGCTTTCTGTTTTGATTATCTCAGGTACATTTTAGCAATGTATAGACCTCAGCCACCTTACAGGGGCCTCCCAGAAAGGAATGGTCCTTTAGTGAGGGCATAGTGTTGTCAGATTCACTGTTGTTATTATTACTATTATGTTGTAAGACAAGACCTCCCTGTGTTTCCTGGGCTAGGCTCTGACTCTTGGATTCCAGTGATCTTCCTGCCTCAGCCTCCCAAGTAGCTGGAACTGCAGGCACAAACTGTCAGACCCAGCTCAGAGTTATTTTTAAGTTGTAGACTGCTACTTCTTACTCCTTATATCCTAAGAAATGTGCACTCTCCCCTTGAGAACTATGGATATAAACTCTGGATTTTCATGGTAGGAAAAAAAAAGTAGAACTAAAATAATATCATGAATAACTAGTAGGAATCAAAGCCTAATTTTGTTTCTGGATTCAGAATTTGTCCCTGGTCTTCCTTTCATAGTTCAGGCTCCTCTAATTATTCTCCTATAGGGCATTTAAAGTATTTGTGTTTTTTTAAATCAGATTTTAATGTTACTGCTTAAAATTTAGCTCAGTGATGACAGGAAATGACACGAGTAGAAGCAATTGCATCAACTATATGAGATTTTAGTCTTTTCCCACCAAAGGGTTTCTTTGCCATTGTTGGTGACAGCATGTCCCCTTGTGCTGCCTCACTTGCAGAGACTCCCAGGGAAGCTCTGAAAGCCTCAGGTTCGTATCTCCTTGGCAACAGCCCCCAGTTCAACCTCACGCCCACCTTTGCTGCTGCTACACCACAGCCCCTGCTCGTTTGGTAGCTGCTTCCGGATCTTGTCCAGATATGTTCTCTCCCCAAGGGTGGGCCTGTAATGACTGTCTCTTCCGGATCAGAAGGCATTGGGAGGAAACCCTGTTTTAACAGTGAGGCGTGGAAGGAGTGATTAGAGCAGAGTGACTGCCATTTTATAAGCTTTCAGCCTCCCAAACCATGCATTTGTTTGCCTTGCCACTGCACTTTGTGATACATGTATAGGGTTTGCTGAGTCCTATTTTTTCGTAATGTTTGCCAGATCTTCCTTTTTATTTAATCCAATTTTACATTCATTTCTTTGAAAGTCTTATTAGGTATATACATAGAGAGAATAGTTCCCCATCACTATCTTCAAGAGCTGTCACCTCACAACAACCTAATTTTATCTATGTGACCTACTTCCTCCCCATCAGATTATTTTGGAGCCAATCCAAGACATCTTATTTCACCCATAAAAATTTTATTATATACTGTAGCTCTAAAAGTAAGGTTTTCTTTTTGAAGCCATAATAATAATACTACTGTATTCCCTAATATTGAATAATAATTCCTAAAGAGTATTAAATACCCAGTCATTGTTGAAATTTCCCTAATTGTTTCAAAGTCTGGAATGAGAGAGTTCATGTTTTATAAGTGGTTAAAAATCAGAATTTATAAAGGAAAAAGAAGTAGAGCTGGGGATGTATCTCAGTGGTAGAGCATTTGCCTAACATTCACAAGACCCTGAGTTCAATTCCCAGCACCACCAAAAAAAAAAGAAAGAAAAATCAGAACTCAGATAAGGACTATCTATGGCAATAGCTATTATGACTCTTAAATTTCTTTAAAACTATAGGTTCCCTATATGTCTCTTTTTCCAAAAATAATTTTTTAATTTGTTGAAGAAACTAGATTTTTATTCCACAGAGGTTCTGACAGCCTGTATTTTTTGTCATTGAATTCTCGTGTTAATATGTGGTATATTCATCCTTTGCATTTCTTGTAACTTGGGAATTAGAAGGTAAGTCAGATCCAGCCATTGTGTTTTTATAATAATGTTCCATCATAGGTAGTGGTTATGTGTCTATCAAGAAGCATAACAAAGCTCTGGTCGTCTCTCTTGGATGTTCACATCCAATGATGATTATTTTCTAGATCCATCATTTTGTGATCTGTGATTTCACAGTGGTTGTATTCTAATTCTTTTATTCTTTCTTCACTTGATAGCTGCAAAAAGGAAATTTCCCTGAAGAGTCATTTGGTAATTGTGAGGCAGTTTGTCCAGGAAAAGAAGGATAAATATTGTATTATTTTCTTTTATTTACCAATTCCCTAGCATTCCCCAAAGGTAAACAAAAGGTTGTTTGTGAAGTTTCTTAGGAGGAAGTGGATGCATATCATTTTGAATTTATAGATTTAAGCACATTCGACATTCTTTAAACACTTGCAATTATTTTATTGATCTTCAAATTGTCTTTAGCTTCTTCAAATTGGTTTTGAGTCCTTTTGACATAACTTCAATAGTCCTCAAATAGCTCTTTGATTTCTTGCATGACAAGATGCACTAGGTTTGTCTTATGTATTTCTTGGCCTTGATCCAGAATCAGTCATTTCTTCAAGAAAGCCTAGTTTTGGCTGGGAGCGATAGCACAGGCTTGTAACCACAGCACTCTGGCAGGCCAAGGCAAGAGGATTGCAAGTTTGAGACCAATTTAGGCAATTTAGGGAGACCCTGTCTCAAAACATAAAAAGGGCTGTGGATGTAGGTCAGTGCAAAGCCCTCAGATACAATTCTCATTACTGGGGAAACAAACAAAACCCACTTTGTGTTTAGTGGAAAATATTTGGAAACTTCAGTGTAAACACAATAGATGATCCTACTCTGTCACGATGT